TGAACGGAGAAGTGGTGCCTCGATGCGCACCCGGGATCCGAACCCGGGCCACCAGCATCGCAGCGCGCGCACTTAACCACCAAGCCACAGGGCCGGCCCAGGACGTTAGTTTTAAAAGTAAAGATAAAGGTTACAATTTTGAACACACTGAGAATAGAGCTAACCTAGAAATAAGATCTGATTCCTTATTTCACAATCTCCTTATACCCATATTTCTCTCTCCTATTTCTTTCTTCCTTTGTATTCAGGTCTAGCTAGATAGAAGAAGACCTTATTAGTTGAGGAAAACTGATATTACGAAAAGGCCACTTAAAATGAATCCGATAGGGGGCCAGCCCCGTGGCGTAGTGGTTAAGTGCACGCACTCCGCTGCTGGTGGCCTGGGTTCGGATCCCGGGCGCGCACCAACGCACCACTTGTCAGGCCACGCTGTGGTGACGTCCCATATAAAAAGTGGAGGAAGATGGGCATGGATGTTAGCCCAGGGTCAGTCTTTCTCAGCAAAAAGAGGAGGACTGGCATGGATGTTAACTCAGGGCTGATCTTCCTCACACAAAAAAATATAAATAAATAAAATGGATTAAAAAAAATGAATCAAATAAAAATAGAGAGAAAAGTTCATCTGCTGTATCTTTATTTCTCAATGGCTTTATATGATCTGAGTAGTTCTCCAAAGTTACTTTTCACTGTCTTCATAAAATCTTTTTTTTGCCAGATTTGCAATCAATTTGCATTACGTTTTGACTAAAACGTTGGATATTGATGTAAAGGGGTTGGAATGCAAGCTGGTATTAAATGGGGAGGGATGTCTGAGTGAGGACTAATATTAGTCTGTTAATTAGCGAATATTTTCCTGTTAGGACAATTTTTGCTTCTCTACTCAACCTTGTAACTATGAGACTTACATAAGGAAAGCCTGTATAATGAGAACAACCCCTGTCCCCTAACACTCACTAACTCCAGTAACCTTGTTTACATGGGGAAACAGTTTCAACTTCTTTTTTAAATATAATTACTTTCCAAGGCAAACAAACTCGGTGGATTTTCTCAGTTTTGTTACTTATTACAAAGAGAGATTAAGGATAATCTACACTCTTTATTCTAAAGCAAAAGTACAGGGAGAAGTGACACCTAATTCTAAGATCAGGATTCCCAGTCCACTACAGATCAGAGAGCAAGGGCACTTTATTCTCTTCTGTAACTCAGTTATCCAGATGACTCAGTTAAATGAATCAGTTCTTCTGGATTGATCCTGGTGTGTCTCATCTTTTTTTTCCTCATCTCTTCCTTCTCTCTATATCAGTCTATATCAGGGACTGGCAAAGTAAAGTGGGCTGGCCACCTGTTTTTGTAAATAAAGTTTTATCAGAACACAGTCACATTCATTTGTTTATAATGTATTATCTATGGTTGCTTTCACACTACAATGGCAGAGTTCAATAGTTGTTATTAGAGATCATATGACCCACAAGCCTAAAATATTTACTATTTGGCCCTTTAAGAAGAAGTTTGTTAACCCCTGGTCTATATTATGGGAAATTTCCTCTGCTTTATTTTCTAACCCTTTTACTGAAACAAATATTTTTTGATGACCTATTATGTGTTTATTCTAAGACAAGTGCCAAGGGAACTGTATTAGAAATGGTTTCTGCTGTCCAGAAGTTAAGAAGTGACAGTAATGTACATCATTAAGTTACAGTGTGCAAGATAAACTGGAAAAGAAAAAAAAGTCAAGAGTGACCAGCCAGAAGGTAGCTAAAATAACTGGAGGTAAAATTACAATATATGATGATGAGACCAGAGAAGATGCAATTTAAAAAATGAATGATTAAAAGTGAATGACAAACTTTACATAAAAAGAAGAAAATGCCAAAATTCAAGATGTGTATAGAGATGGAATACTCAAGAAAGTAAAGAAGGTAAATGGTAGCTTTACATGTCAAGTACATAAACTAATGATTAGTCCTTAAGGGTTATTTAACTCAAAGTTGTACTTTTATAAATTTGGGTAAAGATTTCAAATTGATCTAAATAGGAAATCTGCAATTGTATTCTTATTTTTTCTTTACCATAAAATGGCCAAGTGGATTATCTGTTAAATAAATGAAGGTAAGACTTTTACAGAGTTGGTGCCATAAGGAAAAAAATCAAGTTAATCAGTTGGCACCAGTTAAGTATTTAATCTCACAGAAGATGACAAGGCTTTTCTGATCTGTAATTCCTGAAAAGTCTACCATTTACAATAACTGTGATAAATGAAAGACGGCATTTATTTCTGATATATATTATAATTTAGCAGAAAAACAAAGACATACATTTGAATTTTTTTAGTTCTAAAAATGCTGGATACTTACATCAATATTGACAGGTTCTATTGTGTTTATATGTACGTTTGGAGCTGATGAGGACCGGTCTCGTTGTCCAAACTGATTTCGGTGATCTTCATCTGCTGGTCGGAAAGGCTGTGGAATTGGAATGGATTTTGAAGGAGACGGACTGGTGAGATTTTGGGGCCTGGAAAAATCAATCATTGGAAGATAAGATCAGAGCAACTTTATAGAGATAATAACATAAAAAAATGAATGATATAAAGATTTCCTTGTTTTTATAATCTCATATAAAATCTTTAACATAAAGCATTAAAATCCCAGCTAATGGTTTTTAAAAGTATTAGTTTAAAAAACTAATATATGCCTACAACTAAGACTGACAAAGCTGCTTTGCTCAAGCAGACTCTCCAAGGACTATCAATAATAATAACATTGATTCTTACACAGAAAAATCCAGGGAAATCTACAAATGGCTAGATATTACCTGTGGTTAATCTACTGAAGAAACTCTTGTCCTTTAAAGTTACACAAAAATGCTCTAAACAGAGACTGACTGAATAAAATCTGCCATTTGTTTTTACCTTTGCCATTTCTTGACAGCTGAAGTTACTAAAATGAAATTTTATGGTAGTATTAGGAAATTATAAATATTTTGAGAATACAGAAGAGTATTTCAGGACCTGAAAGATGCACCCTCTTGCTTTACACAAAAGTTGAATTAAATTCCTGAACAATACAAAAGATCATTTTCAAAATCAAAAGATGATCCTTCTAGCATCAATCTCTCATATTTTTAAATTTTTATCATGCCCAACAACTGATACGAGAGACACAGAAGAATCATATATCAAGCATTAAAAGAAATATTTTTTTAAATTATTGTTTGATGAAACCATCAAAATAGGTGACAACCTATTTTGGTACTGTAGATAAATAACAAAGTCTATGATCTCTCACTGCCTGCAAAGTGAACCTGGCACTCACAGAGCACCAAAGTTTTGAGAACAGACTGTAAACACCTGTGAGGAATCTATGCCCCTCAGAAAGGATATCCAAGGGAGCTGGGAAGTAAGCACTTGATGAGGTATGGCTGTCTCAGTGAGCTCCATCAGGACCAATGAAGGACTCAGTGCTAACAGCCTTTCTTCAGAGACTGGTTATCATTCCACCCATCTTACGCAAACTCTGTAACTAATCAGCATTATATAGTGGTTATAAGACACAACCAGAAAGACAATGTTGAGGGAATAAAAAGACATTTTGTGAGAGGAGAGGGTTTAGAGACGAATGGAAAGAAAATATAGTAGAAAAGGAATACATAAAAGTTTGAAGAGCCAAAGAAGCCAAATAGTGACAAAAAGCTCCTGAATAAAGCATGTTAATAGAATCTGAACCACACCAGTTTATAGCTCTACTTCTTTAAAGCACACTTATTAAAGGAAGGGAAAGAAATTTTGACTTTATTTATTCAGATTAACTAAATGAATACACTTAGAATTGAAGTAAAAATAAAAAAATATTATGTACTTTAAAAAATTGGTATCAGCCCAATAAGAATTATAGGTAAGACTAATGGAACTGGCGTTTAAAAAAATTAGCATGTTCCACTAGCCCTTTTTATTCTGATTATTGAGAAATTTTTAGTTTGTGACAGCTATCTTTATTTTTGCTTTAGATAGCCAATACATGGCCTTTGCTAAGGGATTTTGGGAGCAGGTAAAAGAATGTAAAAATGACAATACTAGCTTTTAAAAAAATTTTGGAAAGTGCACTGACTTTTAACTATTTATAGGCTGATTTAAAGTCTCAAGGAAATAGCATACTTTAAGTTAGGACTTAAAAGCAGAAAAAGCCTGAATTAACTACAACTGTATAAGAGTCTAATTAATATAATTGATCTGGTATAGGCATAAGTGACAGCAAGTCATCCTCGAAACTTACTGAATTAAGACTACAACAGCAACATGTTGTGCATAACAAATCAGAAATATGTATGCAAAGGACATTGGTACAGAAGTAGGAAAAACAAAACCCTGGGTAAATTTGACAAATTTTATTATCATACCTAAAGAAAAGAACGGATATATTAGAAAATGAGGATATCTGCCTATTATACAAAATCAGAAAGACTATATTTGGCATTTGGTATCTAATACCACCCCGACTGCACACTGGTCCACAAAGTCAATTTATCTAGCCTTGAGGGCAAGCATATTATAATTTTGGAGAATACTTCAAGTTATTATATCCCAATGTCATTAAACATCTGAACCATGTCCTAATTCCAAAAACAATCCTTGGATTATAATTTGGTTTCTCATAATTATCTTTCAAAAGTGGAGTGGGTACTGATCCATCCAACAGGTATATTTCTCACTGAAATAAATTACCTGGCACTCTGATTTAGTCTTTTCTGATTTTGGTTACTGGAAATCAGTATATTCCTAGCTCTCATCATTTCTGGGAACTGACAAAATTGAGTTTCCATACTGGGAAGTCTTTACCTGGACCAAGGTAATTTAGGCCCTGTGAAGTATGCTGGCAGTCAGCAAACTGGTTTTCTCCTGATACCTCTACCTATCTTGCCGCAAACCTCTTTAAAGTGGTACAAACTAAAAATAAAAACAATTTTACCTCTAACACTCTTCAGCAAATTACCACTTAGTTTAGATCTCATTTTAATCTAGAATATTAAAAGTTTTGAAGCAAAATGTCTTCTGTTCAGTGACATGCAAATTTCAAAATGCTGACTTTTCATAAACTTATACATTCTATAGCATTTTTAAAAAGTAGAAAAGGAGGTACCTCTAACTTTCTATTCAAAACTGGGCAATGCATTACTTCTCCAACATGTCTTGGTTACATCCATTATTATACGTGTTTCATGACCATTATAATTGTTATCAGGACTATTAACAAAATGCAAAGGAATACTGATATAGAACAGGATTGGCTTCTGTCTTTTCACAGGCACCCATATACACTTGTGACATAAAAGCATCAGGAAAACAAAAGTTTCAACATCTTTCTTATCATTTGCTCAAGACAGAATGTACTTCAGTTTAGTTATGAACAAAATACTCATGGCATAGGTAAATCGTTTCTTAAGATAGCATTCCTTCACTGGAAGGCAAACAATCTAGATCATTACCATTATAAATCTTCTAAGAGGGCAAGCTAATTTCATTATGGTGTTCTGTAACTCTGCTCACAGAACTGGGACCTGCCATTAGAAAGGCATCATGGTCTACAGAATCTGTCAGAAGTAAATGTCATAGCCAAAGGATTAATTAAAAATCAAAACAAACAGTAATAACACTTTGATTTGATCATCTAAGAAATACACAGGTGCATACAACTAATGATAGAGACAACAGGTATAAAATGACTCCACCAGAGTGGATAACTGTTGCATCCTGACAAAAGAACATAGTGGTTTCATTTTCTGGTGTTCCAAAGTAGATAAATACATCCACTCCTTGATACAAAAGTCTTTTGCTAAATTTTCTAGGCTATGAGACCTCTAGAAAGGTTGCCTTTGTAAAAACTACAGGTCTACTGGAAGTGTCCACTTATTTATCTCTCTAGGTAGATGAAATAGTGTTACACTGTAAAGAGTGGAAGGAAGTAGGGTTAAAACTCACAATAAATATTTCTGATCTTAACTAATATCTCCAGAATATTCTAGAACAGAATGCTGTGTGAGTACTTTTTTTTTTAACCATATGCTTCCAGATATAGTATAATTTACGCTGCCTCAAATTCAGTAGGGAAAGAGTAAGCAGACCTGTGTAAGAAATGCTCCAAAGCAAACTAATATCTACTAAACTCATCATTTCTTTTTTTCTTATTACGAAGTTTGAATATATGATGCCTTTGTATCATCTTTGAAGTCAGTTCTCTCTTTTATCCTCCACAACTATACTACTAGTATTTTTTTTCTTCTACACTTTATGAATATCCATCCCTTCTCCATGCTGCTACCACTCCAGTTAAAGTCTTCATTGACTCTCACTGTCTTCACTACCAACAGCTCCCTAGTTGGCCTTCTTCACCCTAGACATTTCTCCGTCAATCTATCTGCATATCACTGCTAAGTGATTCTTTCTTTAAAACCATTTTCATCAGGTTAGTCCACCACTCAAAAACCTTTAATTATTTTTTCCCTCTTGTGTCAAGTCTAAATTCCAGCCTGAATTCAACGACTCTCCATAATCTGGCTTATACATACTTCTCGACTTAAATTAGCCTCTCTTCACTATCTTCCAAACCTACCATCTCCATTCCCTTTATTTATGGTTCCCCCCAATCTCCGTCATCATCATGCTTTTATTCCCTAAGCTCATTCAGATTCTAGAATTCTTTAAGGTCCAGTTCAAATTCCACTTTTAAATTAAATTTTGACTACTCTCACTGTTCTCCTTTCTCCTGTAAACATGATAATATTTATGCCCTCTTCATACAGTTTAAAATACTATGTCATAAAATCATAGATTATAATTATATACTATTTTTAAATTGTTTGCCATTGTATGTTAATGCTATATTTCTAAATGGAAGTCATATACATCTATATGTGATATTACCTACTAAAGTGATGAGCATAAGGCAGGAACTCTAAATTATCTGTTGCTTGATTTTTTTCAAGACTGGTCCTGAAACAGTCTATGTGAGCTTTAATCTCATATATCTGTTCCAGATGCATGTAAATATATGACTGGTGTGATAAAATAAGTTATCTGAAAAGAAGTCCTTAATTTAACAATTCAAATGCTGGAAAGGTTTATAATTAACCAACAGATCCAAGAGCAACCAGCTCAAATAGCATGTCACTGAACAGCAGCAGGAGTCAAATCATACCCAATAGAATCGGAGGGGGGTGCAGATGGGGATGATCCAGACGTAAGGGCAGTCTCTGCTAAGGAGGCCTCCTCCTGTGATACTGGGTGGTGTTCAAAGAACTTGGAGACAAACAGCAAACTGTGAGGCAAAAACAAAAACAAAACAAAACAAACCTAACTTGTGCAAAACCCAGAAGCTTCATAACACCAGAATACATCATAGAGTTAATAGAAATATCTGAGGTCAAATTCCATTTTCAGAAACTGTTAAATTCAATTAATTGTATTTTTGTCTAAAGGCTTATTCAAAATAATTATATTGTACTTTCAAAGCCAAGCTCAGAATCTAAAACTAAGAGTTCTATACAGCAAATTTCTACATATTAGAGGGGAAAAATCATGCTTTATGGTTAAGGAATTAAGAGAAAATGTATATACTGCTAAGTCAGATTACATCATTACAATATACTTTATAGTACAGAGTTGAAGTCTATTTGCTCAAGTGATCAAGAAAAGTAATAAGACCTTAAAAGCAGCAGCAACAACAATACAAAAAAAGATTAAAGTAGACTTAGTCTATTCTATTGGCATAAGGCAAATAGAAATTTTAGAAAGAGACACACTGGGTAAAAAGATTTTATGTCTTACTTTTAAATATTAAACTGGGAGGGTGAGAGATTGAAGGAAGGAGGTGGGAAGAGAGAGACAGAGAAAACATAATTTACAAAATAGCTGACAGAATCAGACCACCTGATCTGTGGTCCAAAAATATAATGGTTAACTTAATTGAAACAACACCTGCTCTCCTTCCAAAAACTATCTAAAAGTGATTTCTATGGGCAAGGGATAGGTATTAATTAAATGAGAATATAAAACATAACTGAAATGTATAGCTGAACCAGAATGACAATGAGAAGTACCGGCCATACTACTTTTTACTCTCTAGCTATACTTTTTTAAATTCTAACAACTCCACTGGAAAGAAAATTCCCACAGTCTCTAAGACATACTAGTTTCACATTAAGAAAAAAGTTAAAACAGTAGATAGAAAAGAGATTTTCTTTTGATTACTTACTCAAGTTGGTCATAATTAACACACATCAGTGGAACCTCTGTACTACAACGCTGGTGAAATTTATAACCACATGTTTGACAGCGGAAACCCTGGAAAAGCAGCTTTCGACAAAAGTCACAAAATGCTAAGGTGAAAAAAGTTTTCCGAACCTGCAAAGTAAAATATCATAGAGGATTTCAAAAGCTTGCAAGAATCTTTTTAGAAATCAACTTATTTACTCTCTTGTTCAAAATAACAAATCTTTAATATGTTTATATCATGAGAACTGCCTTACACACTAAGATACAAAAATGAAAACCAGTGGGTTCAAGATAATAGGTGGACTATACGTATTTATCTCCCACCTCATATCCAATTAAAAAACTCAGAAGTCAAGAAGATAGGAAATGAATCAAGACTAGAAATTAATTTCAAAGTTAACTACATAAAAGTAAAGTAGAGATGACAAGCAGGACAGAATAGAGGTGAAAGAAAGGGAAAGGGTACAATTTAATAACTATACAAAGAAAGGAATTAAGAGATGCTAACTGGGGTTGACAGAACAAGAAACAAACGCATATTATTTAAAGTTATAAAGGTATCCAAAAAAACCCAAAAAACACATTGGAGGAGGTGGAAAGGTTGTAATGCTACAAATGAGCTAATTCCCTATGGAATCAGTAATCAGTAAATGATGTCTGAAGTTGGTAAAGCAAGAAATTGTGGTTTAAAGTTACTATTTAGAAATATGAAAATAATCACCAAAAACGCTTAAAACAGAAACCATTAAAAGTTAAGAATAACTTCCTCTGGAGAATGGCATTAGAAGCTAGCAAGGGATGGGGTAAGATTATTTTTCATTATAAGCCCCTCTGCACTATTTTTAAAACTATATACATTTGATTAAAATGTAAATATATACTTTGATTAAAATGTAAAAAAACAATTATTTATAAAAGAAAAAACTAGTTTGTAATTGTATGAAAATCAGAACCCTACCTAAACTTACTAACTAGGATAAGGGATAGGAAAATCACCTAAAAGACAGTAGCAACTACTTTTAACAAATTATCACTTAGAGGATTAGAACATATTTGTGAACATTCCTCTAGGTGAAACTTAAAAGCAACATGTTAAGAACTCCATGTCAGAAGGCAAACCATCTACAACATGGGTCTCATAAACAGAACTGTGGGAGGGAGGTTCTATCTTGATAACTACCAAAGCCAGAAATTATTTAAAAAGTATTGGCTTTGTGTATATAATAAGCAGAGAACATAAGAAAGAAAAACAAATACCAAAATGGCTATTTCAGAGTGATGAGAGCATGGGTGACTTTATTTTGTCCTTTTTTTCTTTCCTAAATATTCTCAATTCATCTTAGTTTTTCAGATAGTTTTAATCACAAACAACAGGAAGAAATATATTTTTACATTATGACCCAGGACACACCTGTAAACAATACTTATCCTGACCAAATATAATATACATCATAATTTTCTAATCTATTACATGTAAATGCTTTTCATGATCCATTAAATTGATTTTAATACTCACAGTTTACCAAACTCTTTTCAATAAACACATATTTAATGTGATAAAAAATTATTAAAAAATAATGTTTCATCAAGAAAATGATATCTTGGCATATTATCCATTCTGGCTTTTTGAGAACATTTAGGTAGTTTTAAGAGTGGCTCTAGTTTTCTTCACCTTTTTTTGTTATGTATCACTTTCTAGGGGATGTAAAAAGGCAACTGCTTGTTTTTAGCTTTCTTTTCCATTTGTCTCTGGATATACAAGAAATTAGAAAATCTTCTTTAGTATTTATGAGGCCACTATTTACCAAAGCAAGCACCTTTTATATTGTTAGCAGAATCTCAGGAAATAGAGCACAGAAAAATACAATACATTGTCACAGGAATCAGCATTTTATAGTCATCTGATCCTCTTTGCTAACCACTCATACCCTCACTCGCCTGATAATTTATTGAATTTCATGAAGCCCTAACTTCTCTTCCTTCATTAATCTACTCAATTGCAGTCTTTCTTCCGTCACTGACTTATACTTGAAAAGTATGTGTAATTAGTTGTTTGTGTATGTAAAGGAGAAAAAAAAAAGAGAGGTAAGGAAGGAGGGCAGGAAGGAGGGAAGCAGAGAGGAGAAGAAAACATCTGAGGGGGAGAAAATGTGGGTATGCATTTGAGTGTAAACTGTAAGTGACATATACTTGTATCTGTGAGCATGCCTCTATCAATAAAGGTGGACACAGGAAAGTATATCTTTTCTTTTCGGTCACAACTTATGCTTATTCTGGAATTTGATTATGCTTATTCTGGAATTTGAGCATATCTGGATATGGATGGTAAACTAGTGGAAGGCACAGACCAGACAATTTGCATGCATTAATTTGTAAAGTGTGGGGCTGTCTGAAGGAAGACGTTAACCTGAGTGCCTATAGAAAATGAGAAGGCCTGGACACATGGCATCTGTTTCAAATCTTGTTTCTCTACCTTCCCTGCCCCTCCACCCCACCAGCTCCCAAGGACTCCTGGGATATAGGCAAATACTGAAGGAACTGCTTTTATAATGGATTCTATGAAAACAGGAGGCATAAGCAGCATTCCTTGAGTAGTCAGCAAAACCAGCACAGAGAAGCAAAGAGAGGAATTCTTTCCTTTCTAAGCAGAATACGGGCTTTTACTCTCACCTCTATATGGCACTCAGAGAATTGTTCTAAAACACAAATCTAATCACACTTCTCCCCTCCGTACAATCATTAACTTTCAATTATTTTAGAGAAAAGTCCAGATCTTTAACATGGCTTACAGGGACTCTTCACGAGTGGGACTCTGCTTACTCTACCCATTCCTCTTGCTACACTGTAACACATCTCCTCTCCCGCTTTGTCCCATCCACTCTGAACTTCTTTCACAACTGACAAGGTAACATGCTTTTAAGCTGTTTCCTCTGTCTAAAGTACTCTTCCCTTCACTCTTCATCTGCTATTCCCTCGTCCATCAGGCCTAAGCTTAGATATTTCTTCCTTTGGGAAACCTTACTGACTCCTCAAAGGCTAGGTTAGGAGTCTCTACTCTGTGCATCTTTAGCACTTTATACATACACAGCAATTAAGAGTGTTTATGAAATTTTCTTATTAAACCATCTGTCTCGCTACTCTAAGGCAGGAATATTGTTTTTCTTATTCATTGTTATATCCCCAGATCAGACACAGTGTTGGCAAATGGAAAGGTCTCAATAAATATTTACTAGTAGGTCTCCAACTGTCTTGTGAGGATTTCCATACTCTGGAACTAACCTGCAGTTGGCTTTCATTATCCTTTTGTGGCGAGGACCTTCCTGAGGCACTATTTTAATACTATTTTGTGGTTAGCAACTTAGGTCTTCTTTCACCTCCTCATATCCAATTTCTAGCTAAGAAGAATAATTAAGAAAAAGAGTAGTAATCACTATGAAATGTAAGCTCAACTGTTTTTGGATTCCTGAAAACTTAAATAAAAATATTAAGATTTAGTCACTCAAAATTCTACAAGTTAAAAAAAATCAATAGTAATGAACTTCCTAGCTTATCATTATAAACCTATTTGCTACACAGTAAATTTGACTGACATTAGGTGTATCTTAACACTCATCTAACAGATGCCTTATTTATTGAAGCACAAACCTGATACCATTATTCACCAGTAATGGAGCCCCCAAAGTACAAACCCCCAAGAAAACCATCTCATCAATCATCTGTTTTAAAAGCCCAGCTGTACTAATCACCAAGGCACGTGGGAGAACACTTGATGCCAAAAGGGTAGCAATAACTATCCATCTAATAACTAACCATCTAGAAAAAATAAACTGTGGTCAAAATTCCATATATATACGTATATATATATATACGTATATATATGTAAGCAATGCATTCCTGCTTTATAGATCACTCTAATCCTGGCTTCTGCCTACCCTTTTAGAGGACAGGTTATCAAGGTCTGGGAATCTATCCTCATCTCTAAGGTGGAGAGGTCCCATGTTCCAGGTCTCATGTTGGTGACACTTAGCTTAGGCTAGGTTCTAGCAAATGCAAAAACCAGATAAAGGGATAAGTCCTTGAGGAGAGCTATCCCACTTCCATTAACCTATCCTTCAGAAACATTTATACAAGTGTGTCAAGGTGTATGCATAAAGATTCTGTTTAGCCCTGTATATAATTAATTAAAAAAAAAAACCTTAAATGTCTATTAATAGAGGGATGGTTAAATATATCTAATTTATATTCTTATAGACTACTATGCAATCATTACAAAAATAAAGCTAGGTGTACCGACATAGAAAGACATCCACGATGCACTGTTTACTTTTTTTTAAAAAGGTGAATATTACACAAAACATGATTCCAATTTTAGTTTAAGAAAAGGAAAGAAATGGAAAATAATGAAGGGAAGGGATGGGAAGGGAGAAAAAAAGATAAAGCAGAAAACTTTGGGCTTACAGGTATAAGCACACGTTTGTATATATAGAAAGAATAGAAAGAGTTTGGAATACTATACAACAATCTATTAACAAACGTTTACATCTAGCATGGCATTTTCACTTTTTTACTTGATATACTTTTGTACCATTAAAATTTTCTTTTTATTTTCTTTTAATAATGGACACGTATTGCTTTTTTAAATTAAAAATAAAGTATAATGACTAAAATAAAACTCTTTAAATACACGTTTTTTAAAGAACAGAACTGATTTTCAACTTAGGTAAAATATCAATTCTCAAATTACCCATCCATATTTCATATTCTCTAAACAGAAATTAACTTACAAGAACCTGAACATTTCTGACATTTCAAAAAAATGTAAAGGTACATACAAAGTTGTGTGTTGTTAGTGGAACATTCTCCAGCACTTCTACATGCAATTCCTCTCCGGTAAGCCAGGAAATATCAGTGTCCCAGCCAATTGGTTTCTTCTCTCTGCAAAGTGTAGACACAAACCTTTCTTGGTTATCATACCTAAAAACCTTCATATACCTTATGCTGAAGATACGAAAATTGGTTATTGAGGGGCTAGTAATGGTGAGGGAGGTTTGGCTCCCCGGTCTTCCATCGTTAGAAATTTAAATGGCAATAAATTAATTTTTAAGTTTACCCCAAATAAATGTATCACTCTTGGACAAACAGCAGGGTAAAGAGATGTACTCTTTTCTTCAAGTCAGCTCCAGAAAAGACCTACAACAGCAGAAAATGGATTGTTCCTGGCGTCCAAAAAAAAAAAAAAAAAAAATCACAGGTACGGATATTTTATCTATCCTTTCAAAGAAAAAGAGTACTCAAGGGACAACATGCCCCAAAAAGAACAATTTTTAAAAACGGGATTCAAAATTTGGGGTGGGGGGGGTCTTGGCACAATTTTAGATGCGTTCTGAAAGAAAAATAATTCAATGTAAAATGTTAATTTTGATAAGTCTTTTGCAAAACTATGAGTTTATATTAAAAAACAGGGAGTGGGGAAGTCCATTATTCAACTAAGTCACATTCTAAATGGTTCAAAAATTGTAAGAATCTCAAATTCCAAGTAAAGTCATTTGATTAGAGTAACAAACACTATCGTCACACAAAATTATCTAATGTTAACTCCTCAAAGGGCCTACAAGATTTCTTTAGGTGAACTTAATATTTTTTTCTGAAGTTGATTTTCAATTCCCTAGGTTTGGGTAAAGATCCTACCGAAAACCCCCCAATTTAATATCTGAGGTTTTTCTTCCCTTTTTTTAAACAAAATTTCACATCACATACAAACCATACCCATCCTGAATTCTGTAAACAGCACAGCACTCTGGGATTAGACCTCTCATCATCAATGCTTTCTTTAGACTGTCCCGGACTGTAACGCCACACCTTGCAGGTACCTATGGTATCATAAATATATGATATGAGGTAAAGGGAATAAACTATATATTTTTTCACATCAGTTTTTAAAAACAATAATTTACCTTTATAATATAATACCTTTAAAATATCATAATACCTTTAAAATATCATATGGATTACTATGTCAGAGACAACATCATTTCTACAGCTAACTTAATATTAAAGGTAAATTATGACTCAAGTATCTGTTATTATTCACCAACTTCAATCAAAGCAAAACTGATTTTTATTAAAATTATGAAATATTTTAAACATAGAAAAGAGAACAGAAAATGCAACAGATCCCTATGTACCCACCACTGAGAAATAATAGATGTCAACATTTAAAGCAAAATCAATTTTGATCCAATATTGTTCAAAGCTGAAAACTGTAATCCTTCAATCACACTGACGGTCCTTAAAAGATATCTTACTGATCCTAAACATAACAGGAAGAAAATACTTGTCTTAATGTGTATAATTAATATTTGTTGTTTAGTTGCCTAGCATCTCTATTTCTTCTGGGAACCTGCCCATCCCTAAAAACCCACATGGTACTAGAGAGGCTATCAGTCAAGGGTTGCTACTTTTCTGGCTACACATGGCACAGCTGGCTAATCAGTTTCTCATATCCTTGGCAACAGCAACTGATCCAGGACTAGATACATGACCCAAACAATACAGGAGTTCTTCCCTAAACTGACAGATGGCCACTGGCTGTGAGAAGTCCCTGTTTCTAATGTAGTTACATGGTGCTAAGAAGACAGAAATCTAGAGCCCCCAGTGGCCATCTTTTTCTCTATATTGAGAAAATCTGGTTACAGAATGAAGTTGACATGACACTGGGAATGGGGAGGGAAGGGGCACTGGAAAGAGATAAAAAGAATCTTTCCATATATTTGAAGTTATCCCTACTCTGGCCTTTTCTGCACAAGACCAACCCCCCAGGTGAATCTGAATAATTTATAACTGAAAGAGAACTGACAAATACAGTGTGCACTAAAGTGAGGCAGTGGGAGTTTGGGTTGGTTATTTTTTATGGGGGGACGGGAGTGGAAACAGAGGGGATGTGTTAGTTAATAACAATAAAATTAAAGGTTCCATTCTTTTAAATCATGAAAGTACTTAGCAAACCAAAAGTTTCCAAAGAAATGGAAATCTTTATACTAGAGGGAAAAAAACAGAGTTAAGGTGAATATAAGACAACTGAATTTAAAATAATATATTGAAGGGGGAACAATCCAGAAAGCCAAATTAGGACCTACGATTAGAAAAAACAGGAGGCAGATTTTAGCTCAATTATAACCATTAAAACTACCCAGCAAGGGAAATGTTTATCATGAAGGAGTAGGCTCATCATTGGAAGTATTCAAGAGACTGGATTGGTACACTTGATCCTCTTTATTCGTGTACTCCCCATTTGCGAATTTGTCTACTCACTAAAATTTATTTGTGACCCCCAAATCAATACTTGCAGCACTTTTGCAGACATGCGCAGGGCAGCAAAAAATTGGAGTTGCCCAACGCGCTCCCCCCACAGCTGAGGTTGCACAAAGTGACACTCCGCCTTCTCGTTGTAGCTCTCATTTTGTACACAAGTGCCCTCTGCAGTGGGCTTTAAGCTAACAGGCCCCAGCCGGCTGTGAAGAAATAAACAACGCAGAGGCCAATATACAGAGGCCATCTTTGGCTCCTTTATATAACAGTAACCTGTATTTCCCCTAGGAGCAATGGTTTAGTGTTTGCAGTGAATTTATAGAACATAACTACCGCAAATAGTGAGAATTGGCTACACGTTCCAGAAAGAATGAAGAGAAAGCTCACTTTTCCCCTCTGCTCCTCATATTCCGCCTAATCTAATGCAAACTTCTTGGTTGGCAAACCCATCTTTAGTTTTAAACCCCATCCAAACTATCCTATCCCAACGTTACCATAGATATCTTTCTAAAGAAGGTATTCTTAACTTTTCTGTGTGTCAAAGACTTCTGAGAATCTAATGAAAGCCTTAGATGCTTTCTCTGAAACATAAAATTTCAGGGGGTTCATGGAACCTGAAACCCATGTATGGACTACTGAGGAGCTCGCTGAACTCAGATTTAGAACCCCATTCTAAAATATAATCTTACATTTTACTAGTCTGCTTAAAATTTTCCCACTATTTATAGGGCAAAATTCAAATTCCATAATACGGCATATAAAGTCATCAATGAACTGGGGCTATCTACCCTAGTTCTTTTGGTAATTTCCCTCATGCGCTCCTGTAATGCCATCTTCAAATATATAGCTACGCTCCCTTATGTTTCTCTGCACAGGCTGATTCCAAGGTATATGTATATTTCATCAGCAGGAAAAAATTTGGTTTTCCGCTCTATCACCAAGGAAAAGCCTATCGATCAGTCCTTCTTCATTCCACTCCTATAGGTTGATTTTTTGTATTATTTGCTCCTTCATGATAGTGCCTGTTCAACAGACCAAGACACCAATGGAACAGAACAGAAAGATCAAAACAGATAAAAGAAATTAGAATAACATAAACGTAGCATCTGAAATAAGGTAAAGATGAACATTTTAATAATTGATGTTGGGACAAGTGGAACCAATCTACAAAAAAAAGGTTCATTTATACTTCATATTGTATACTAGGGTAAACTCCAAATGGATCAAAGATTTAAACGTTGAAGGAAGGAAGGAAGGGACAAACGATAAAAGAACTGGAAACAAACACGGTATACTCCTTTATAACCTCAAGTGAAGAAGGCCTTTACAACTATGATGCAAAATCTGGAAGCCATAAAATAAAAAATATTAAACTACATAAAACTAAAACCCTTTTAGATGGCAAAACTAACAAACACACTACAAGCAAAGTCAAAAGACAAATATGAACTACGAAAAATATATTTGCGACTTATAAGCAAAGTCAAAAGACAAATGTAAACCGGGAAAAAATATCTGCATCTCTTATAACAGGCATATGATATCACTTCCTGATATATAGAGAGCTCCTGAAAAATTGAGATCAAGACCAACAACCCAACAGAAAAATGGGTATAGGACATAAAAGATAGTTCATAGAAACAGAAATGGCCTTCAAACATATGAAAAGGTATTCAACCACACTGAGAGAAAAGCAAACTTAAACCTGCCAAGGTATTTTTCTTTTATCAAACCGGCAAAAATCCAGAAGTTTGACATCATATTCTGTTGATGAGTCTACGGTAAACAGGCATCTCAATACATTGGTAGTAGCAGTGCAAAATTAAGCAACCCCTATGAAGCAAAATTTGAAAGTATCTATCAAAATTACAAATGTAGGGCCGGCCCCATGGCTTAGCGGTTAAGTGTGCGTGCTCCGCTGCTGGCGGCCCGGGTTTGGATCCCGGGCGCGCACCGACGCACCGCTTCTCTGGCCATGCTGAGGCCGCGTCCCACACACAGCAACTAGAAGGATGTGCAACTATAACATACAACTATCCACTGGGGCTTTGGGGAAAAAAAGGAGGAGGATGGGCAATAGATGTTAGCTCAGAGCCGGTCTTCCTCAGCAAAAAGAGGAGGATTAGCACAGATGTTAGCTCAGGGATGATCTTCCTCACCAAAAAAAAAAAAATTACAAATGTCAATCTCTCTTTGATCCAGGCAAGCCTACTTTTGGTATACTATAGTATACTGGTAAACTATAGCTGTGTGTATCAGTAGTGCATTTCTTCCTATGGAGTAGGATTCTATTTTATGGATATACCACAACTTGCTTAACCATTCACCTGTTGATGGACATTAGAGTTATATCTAGTTTGGTGCTATTATAAATAAAGCAACTAAGGACACTTTTGAATGGACATATGCCTTCTTTTCTCTTGGGTAAATACCTAGGAGTAGAATGGCTGAATCATATGCTAGGTGTGTATTTAACTTTTTACAAAATTGCCAAACTGGTTTTTTTTCCTTATTGTGGTAAAATATATATAAAACATAAAATTTACCATCTTAACCATTTTTAAGTGTATAGTTAATTGTGTTAAGTACATTCACACTGTTGTGCAACCAATCTCTAGAATTCTGTTCATCTTGCAAAACTGAAACTCTATACCCATTAAACAACAACTCCCCATCTCCCTTTTCTTCAGTCCCTGGCAACCACCATTTTGTTTTTTGTCTCTATGAATTTGACTTGTCTAGGTACCTCATATAAATGGGATTATACAGTTTGTTTTTTAGTGATTGGCTTATTTCACTTAGCATTATATCCTCAAAGTTTAGCAATGCTGTAGAATTTGTCAATTTCCTTATTTTCAAGCCTGAATAATGTTCCATTGTGTGTGTGTGTGTGTGTATATATATATATATACACCACATGTGTATATGTATACATATATATACACACCACATTTTGTTTATCCATTCATCAGCTGATGGACACTTGGGTTGATTACACATTTTAGTCATTGTGAATAATGCTGCTACGAATGTGGGTGTACAAATAATCTCTTCGAAACCCTACTTTCAATTTATTTGTGTATATATCCAGAAGCAGAACTGCTGGATCATATGGTAATTCAATTTAAAATTTTTGAGGAACCACCATACTGTTCTCCACAATGGTTGCACCATTTTACATTCTCACCAGCAATGCAACCACGATTCCAATTTCTCCATATCTTTGCCAACGCATTCTTTTTTCTTTTTTTTTGACAGTGGCCATTCTAATGGGTATGAGATGGTATCTCACTGTGGCTTTGATTTGCATGTTCCTAACCATTAGTGAAGTCAAGCATCTTTTCATGTGTTTTTTAACCATTTGTATATGTGTATATCTTCTTTGGAGAAATGCCTAGTCAAGTCCTTTACCCTTGTTTTTTTTTGAGGAAGAGTAGCCCTGAGCTAACATCTGTTGCCAATCCTCCTCTTTTTTGCTGAGGAAGATTGGTCCCAGCCTAACATCCGTGCCCATCTTCCTTTTCTTTATATGGGACGCTGCCACAGCATGGCTTGATAAGTGGTGCGTAGGCCCATGCCCGTGATCCGAAACTGCGAACCCTGGGCCGCTGAAGCGGAGTGCACGCACTTAACAGCATGCCACTGGGCCGGTCCCTCCTTTACTCATTTTTTAATGGAGTTGTTTGGGTTTTTTGTTGTAGAGTTGTAGGAGTTTCTTAAAATGTATTCTGGGGGCCAGCCCGGTGGCGCAAGTGGTTAAGTGCGCACGCTCCGCTGCGGCGGCCCAGGGTTCACTGGTTCGGATCCCCGGCGCGCACTAACGCACTGCTTGTTAAGCCATGCTGTGGCAGCATCCCATATAAAGTAGAGGAAGATGGGCACTGATGTTAGCCCAGGGCCAGTCTTTCTCAGCAAAAAAAAAAGAGGAGGATTGGCATTGGATGTTAGCTCAGGGCTGGTCCTCCTCACACACACACAAAAAAATGTATTCTGGATGTTAACCCCTTATCAGATACATGATTTGCAAATATTTTCTCTCATTCCATAGGTTGCCTTTTCACTGTTAATTGTGTCCTTTGATGCACACAAGTTTTTTATTCTGATGAAGTTTAACTTATCTATTTCTCCTCTTGTTGCCTGTGCTTTGGTGTCATATCCAAGAAACCATTACCAGATGCAATATCATGAAGTTTTTCCCCTAAGTTTTCTTCTAAGAGTTTTACAGTTTTAGCTTTATATTTACGTCTTGTATCCATTTGAGAAAATTCCGTATATGGCGTAAGGTAAGGGTCCAACTTCATTCTTTTGCATGCGCATATCCAGTTTTCCCAGCATCATATGTGGAAGAGACTGTCCTTTCCCCCACTGAGTGGTGTTGCCACCTTATCAAAGATCCTTTGACCATATATGTGAGAATTTATTTCTGGACTCTCCACTCCATTTCAATGGTCTTTATGTCTATGCCAGTACCACAATGATTTGATTACTGTAGCTTTGTAATAAGTTTTGAAATCAGGAAGTGTGAGACCTCCCACTTTGTTCTTTTTCAAGAATGTTTAGCTATTCAGGATTCCTTGAGATTCGACATTAATTTCAGAATGGATTTTTCTATTTCTGCAAAAAACACTGCTGGGATTTTGGAAGGGAAATTCAAAACTGCCAAATTGTTTTCCAAAGTGGTTGTACCATTATACATTCCACCAGCAGTGTATGAAAATTCCAGTTAATCCACATCCTTGTCAATAGTTAGTATAGTCATTCTTTCATTTTAGCCATTCTAGTAGATGTGTAGTGGTATCTTGTGTCTTTAATTTGCATTTCTCTAATGACTTATGATGTTGAGCATCTTCTCATGTGTTTATTTGCCATCCATGTATCTTTGGTGAAGTATCTGTTCAAATCTTTTGCCTATTTTTTAACTGAGTTGTTTGTTTTCTTGTTTTGGAGTTCTAAGAGCTCTTTATATATTCTGAATACATGTTCTTGACCTGAATATGTTTTGAAAAGATTATCTTTCAGTCTGTGGTTTGTCTTTTTATTCTCTTAATACTGTCTTTTGAAGAGCAGAAGTTTTTCATTTTGATGAAGTCCAATTTATCAATATGTTCATTATGGATTGTGCTTTAGTGTCATATTTAAGAAATCATTGCCAAATTCCAAGTCACAAAGATTTTCTCCTACGTTTTCTTCTACAAATTTTATAGTTTTAGATTTAATTCTTACTTTTCACTCCTTTCTCTGTGTTCAATTTTTTCTTAAAGTAACTTTTGGATAGTTTCTTTAAGCCGAATCTGGAAAAAGTAAACTTCTCATCTGCAAAGGCCTTTTTTGTGCCTTCACTCATCGTGTACCTAGCTAGCTAAACTCAGTTTAGCTGAGTGGCGTACAGGCATCTCTCAGCACTTTGCGTATATATTCCGTTGTCTTCTGGCTTCTATAGCTGCTATGGAGAACTTTTTTGGATAATCTAATTCTAATTCTTTTATAAATTATTTTTTTCCTAAGTGCTTTTAAAATAATATTCTTTCATTTGTTATGTCTAGTAAATACGGATTCAAATTTACTTATCTAACTCGGTGCTTGTGTTTCCAAATATTTAGATTCATATATCTTTTATAAGTGTTAGCCATCATTTCTTTGAATTTTGCTCTACTCCTTTATTTCTAGTCTTACTTTCTGGAACTCCTTTTTGAGGCATATAATAAAATTGTTCATTCCATTCTTCATACCTCTTAATCTCTTATATTTTCTATACCTCTCTTTCCTTGCTTTCCAGAGTTCACTAATTCTCCTTTCATTCAGTTGGGTTTAATCTACTTTTTCTATCATCCATTGGGTTTTTCAAAGTAAATAAAACATTTTAATTTTATATAGCATCTTAACACAGCTCTGCAATATGCTGTAACTAGCCTGACATTGAGATTTTATTTAGAGTGTTACCTTGCTACTTCCTCAAATCAGCATCAATATGTTCAATAGTTTTTTTCCCTAGTGACAATTGCTTCTTTTGAACTTTCCATTTTACCTTTATTCTATGTTGTTTGAATTCGTCCAAATCTATTATGAAAAATTTCAAACATACAGAAAATTTGAAGGAATGGTACGATTAACATCCAAATTCTCTCTACTAAGGTTCTAAAATTATTATTTTTTCATATTTGTTTTTTCTCTCTACATTTTGTTTTCCATCGTACCATTTGAAAATAAGTTCCAATTTGATTGATTGAGATAAAAGTCAGGATAGTGGTTACTTTTGAGGGTGGGTACTGAATTGGAGGGCACAGGAGAATCCTTTCAAGTACTAGAAATGTTTTATATCTTGATCTGCATGGCAGTTACATTTATAGAAAGTCACTGAGCTATACACTTGAGATTTGTACACTTTACTATTGTGCATGTTATACTTCAAAAAAGAGGGGCAAAAGTTGCAGGCATCATGACAATTCACCCCTAAATACTTAAGCATGCATTTCCTAAGAATAAAAACATTCTTCTACATAATTACTATTATCATACTTAATAATTATTCCATAAAAACATCTAATATTTAATCAACATTCAAAATTGCCCAAGTCTCAAGAATGTCTTTTATAGGTCTTGCCATCCTAGTCCCAAACCAGGATCACATACTGCATTTAGTTGTTATATCTCTTTAGCCTTGTTTAGTGTAGAATAATCCTCAACCTTTTTATCCTCCATGATTTTGACTCCAGGCAATTTGTCTTATAGGATGTCCACATTCTGAATTTGTCTAATTGTTTCCTCATGGTGTTTAACTTTTTCCTCTATCCTCTGTGTTTCTTGTAAAATGGAAAGTCCAGAAGCGTGACATTCAATGCAATCATTTTAGCAAGAATACTTCATAGATGATAACTGTTATCTACTAAATTTAAAATTTTAAGACCACCTGAAAGTTCTACTTCGTTCCCTTTTAGGAGTCTAATACTGCTCTTTTTAAGTCTTCTAACTCACTGACGGTAGACTGTTTCCTTGTATATCTTATAACTTGAGATTCTGAGCTTGTCAATGGGGCATTCTCTCTGTGAATTCCATGAGACCTAGATGGGCCAAGGGAGGGTTTGCATTTGCTTCTGCCCAGTGCCTGGGTGCTATTACCACTCCATGACCAGTAGTTATATTAATTCCTTGGGTTGAGGGTTCCTGGACAATGCAGGTAGTACAAATATGAACCCTAAACTGTGATGAGAATAGGTCTATAGTTAAGAGTTCACAGGGGAAACTTTAACCTTTATCTGGAGCCTGGGCAAAGACAGACAAGTTTCATTGTTATTTATGTATGTTGGTGAATAGATTTTCCTGTAGTTCACCCTTTCGCTAAAGGTAAAGCTCTTCAAAGGCTCAGCTTTATGTGAAGATCTGAGTTCCAACTACCTTTGTGACACTGGCCGAAGGGCTAGTCTTGTGTCCCCAAACACTGACACTCACATCCCTTTGTTACAGGGAGTTATAAACTGACCCCACTGGAGGTCACTACAGCACAGATGAGCAAAATTCTTTCATAAAGAACCACCATTACTACTAACACTGTCTGAGGAAAAAAAATTAAAAACTACTTTGACTTCAGTTATATTTGGAAATGAAATGGTTTTTTTATTAATATCAAAAGAAACCATATACATTATAAAAAGTAGTGATGTATTATAGGTACATTATTTATTAAGTCTACTGATAGTACTCACTTGAGGCTTATAAACTATCCATAATATTTCTACTTGAGGCTTATAAACTATCCATAATATTTCTGCCGATTTCCTTGCTTTAAATGTTACTTACAGAGGACTCGTGTTCGAATGGTGTTACTAATGATAAACAATCAAAAGTTATGTAAACAAGAGGAAAAATATCAAGCACACTGAAAATCCAACATTTGATAATAAATCTGAATAGGGATTTCTCAAGAGTGAAGAATGAATCTTACCTGATCTATGTTAGAAAACCAACAAGCTCAAGTCTGGAAATTCTGACTGATTCTGAACTAGTACTTAGACTTGAGCGTGGTTCAAGTTTGGTAGATAGGTTTTAACATCAAATCTGACACTAACGACAATACAATTTGTTACAGTTAAGGAACATGGACTTTGGCACCAAATATTTATGGCTTTTCCATTCTTGTCTGAAATGGATGCTTCCACTTGCACAACCACTGAGTATGAAGTGATAATATATTTCATTTTTAACAACTGGTCTTTCTGAAAAATACAAAGAAAAAGCAATGACGACATTAAAAATTGACTCACCACTGTCCTCTGTTTGTTGGGCAGGAAGACTCTAACAATAGGTTTTTGTGGTGACTTAGGGTTGCTCCGTGACACATCTGTAGGATTTTGAAAAACTGAAAGAGATGAAGGTAGCACTGAAAGGCTAGAAGAGGAAGAAGATGTAACGGTGTCTGTTGATGCAGAGCTAGAAACAGAAAAATCAGTTCCATTCCCCAGGGATTCCAATAACTGTTGTTCTCTTTGTTGGAGGGCATCTAGTTTGCTGGTGTATTCTTCATAAGCCTATAAAATAAAGTAGACTTACATTGAATCTGGATTTTTCCCTTACAATAACAAAAGAAAATATGACATTTAAGTCTTTGATTATAATGTCCTTATAATCTAGCTAACAGGATTTTAAGTTACAAGTTACAAATAAATGCTGGACGTACTGTAAATAAATACTTTTACCTTTAAATTGATAAATCTTTTGTTATAAGACACTACATTACATTGAGAAACTGACATATATATATATATGATGACTAGAATATCCATGAATATTAATATACATAGTATTTTCAATTTTCAGGTAAATCACAATTTGCCTTCCAAACTACATATCTAAGATAAGTAGATCATAAGTTTATCATAAGATAAAATACTACACTACTTCAAGGATAAGTACCCCTTCCATTAAAAATTTATTTTTTTCCAGAAAAGTTATGAGCATATAAAGTTTCATACACACACACACACACACACACACTCTCTCTCTCACTCTCTCTCAAAGAAGAAAGAGAAATTGAAAAGGAGATGAAGTGATAAATTTGTCAAAAAACAAGACTCAGGTACACAGTGCCAGATCTCACCATTATCATCAAAACCTCCTCAATAGGGCTAGAAGACGTATACTGCCACCTTCTTTCTGAAACAGCTATCAGTTAAAATACTTTATTTTTCTATGAATGTCTGACAACCTCCTTCCCCATTAAACACTGCTTAGAGAAGAGAAATTTATTTGAAAAGGTGGCTTACACCCTGCAGTCAAGAAATTCTGGGGCCATTATCCATCATGGTATCTTCCTGGAAGTTTCATTTGACTAAGGCTATAAAGTCAAATGACCATATAAGATATCATATTCTAAAAGTAAGAAGATTCTTGAAAACAGAATGATATTGAAAGTAAAGAGACAGAATGAATTAGAATATATAAGGCCATGGTTCTTTAAGGCAGTGGTAATCACCCTCCCACACACCATGGTCCACCATTTCTCCCACTATTGCATAACCCCAAATAGATGCAATACTACAAACATTCATGAAAGGTTACAAAAAAGAATCAAAGATTTTAAAATGGCATTTCCCATCCCTCAGTAAGTTTATTATTGGGCTGGAGAGAAGCAGAAAGATTATTTTTATTTGTGTAAGTGCTGTATATGAGAAATTCTTGATACAAGGTCAGATGAGGAAGCAGGGGGCCTTAAAAGATTAGCATTTAGATGGATGGAGTAAGTGGGGAGAAAAGAGTACTGTGCACAGGAGAAATTCTGTAACAAAGTAAGGAGATAGGAAATTTTAAGACACAGAGGAAAACCTAGAGACTAGTATAGCTGAATGTCACACAATACCTGGGACATAGTAAGGGATAAATATATATTTGTGGAATTTAACTGAAGAACAGGAACACAGGGAAACAATAAGACTGGAAAAGTGAGTAAGGGACCAGATTGTAGAGAGGATATATATACCATGCTATGAAGCCTGGGAGAATTATCAAAGGTAGAAGAGAATGAAGGAGAAATTTCACTTCAATACTGGCCACTGTCCCTGTATGCTAGATCTTACCATATAATTTTGAAAAAAAAGAGAAAATACTAAAATGAGCTACTCAGGTAAAGGGCCTAAACTACATCAAAATGCCGTTTTCTTCTTTACAACCTATTAGTTGCCCTACCCTGATCCTGAAATGTTTCATAGTATTTCAGGGCATTATAACCAAATCAATTCAAAATTTTCTGAGCTGTATTTCTATTTAGCTTTCAGTGCCAAGGGCTAATTACTTAAGGTCACCTCTTTCAATATGATCCACTTACTGAACCTTCAATCATTCAATAAATATATATTGAGCATACATGTGCCAGGCACTGTTTGGGGCTCACACTACAAAAATAAAGACTGACACAATTCTTACACTTTGAAGATTATATACACGCAGTCTGGGAGAAAAAAGTTGCCCTTTGCATAGATCAAATATTCTTATACTGTCATCTAGGCAGTGTATTTACTACACAAAGTTAGCCTTAGGAAAAGTAATAAATACATTTTCCGAATGTTATTTCTTTATCAAAACGTTAGCCTTAATTTTTGAAACTACACTATTCCCTCCATTGCAGATGACTGACTATTATTTAATTGCATTTATCAATAGCTCTTCCTTAAGTACAAAACATTTACGTACTTATTCCGCTCTCCATCGTCACAGCTGCAATCTACCAAGGCACTTGCCTACCTTGTTTCGTAACTGGCTTAGTTCATTTCATCCCATTATCCTGGCTGCATTCAGTGTGAATGCTGATTATTCTTAACACTTCTGCCTTAAAGTTCTTTAAACCTCTTATCGCTAAAGGCATTTATTTCCACTTTACCTTTCAGATCCAGAGATACACTACAGTTCTTCACAAAAGAGTTCCAAATGAGGACAGGATCTCAATTTGGAACCTCCCATGTCCCCAGTGCACACACATTTATCCCACCTTCTTAAATTACTACCTAACATTAATCCGTTCATGGTCAACACTAATCCCTTAAAGTTTCTCAGATTTGGGCCTTTGTTGTCTTACTTCCCATACTTTGTGGCTCATTTCAACAGTGCCACTGGTAACATCTTAGTTTCTCTGGCTGATGCTTATTCTTTTACCAACTTGCTTGTCAAATACCAATTTGGGTAAATCCTACCACTCAATTATTATATTCTTTCTCTCAGGTTACCACACATCGCTGGAGAAAATAATAAAACTAGGCCAATTAGTTCCATTACCAATTCACAGAACTTAATCTTTCACACTGGAAAATTTTACTTATTTTTAATGTCATATTACATTCCTCACAATACTTATTCCAACCTTTTCTATGCTTCTCTGGCTCCTAACTTTATCCCCCAAACTTTAATTCACTCAGAAAATGGCATTACCTTCAAATCTACTCTGAAGATCATAGCCATTACACAAAAGCTTCCTCTTCTTTGTTTGTCTAAGCAATTCTCCACATCTTTCCCCATCCCACTTCTGCTCTCAATTTAGTGCCAGCACTGCGTGTTTAGGGCCTCTTCTATGGTGGCCTTAGCACACTGTTATCTCCATTTTCTTTTTTCTTCCAACCTTCCCTTCTCCTCTATTTTCTTACACCCTACAAATGTGAGCAAGTCCTCCCACATAAACGCACACTTCAACCACCACCATCAACAAAATTCCTTAGGTTCTTCAACATACTGCAGATACCAAATACTTCCTCAGGAGGCACCTTTCCAAAATCCCATACCTTCTCATCAAAATCCTACCTAGTTTTCAAAGTCTAATTCAAAGTTTTGCTTGATAAAATCCCAAAGAGATATTCTTTCTCTTCACCTCCTTTAGAGTACTACTACATTCTTCTTTATATGGCTATTTTTTCCTCATTTGTGAAATAATTTTGTAAGGATCGAATGAGATAATACAAGTAAAAGAAATTGTATTATAGAGACTACCAATAAATATTTTTATTATAGTAATAAGTAGTACCAGTAAATCTTGTGGTTATTACTGTTATTACTATATTATTTAGCTGAGTTCTTGACATGACTCTACCAAACTGTAAGCTAGTTGAGGGCACAGAACATGTCATTTATTTTTGTAATAAAAAAAAGAATCTAAGAACACTTAATATTATTAAGATGACAACACTCCCCAAATTGATCTACAGATTCAACGCAATCATTATCAAAATCCCGGTTGGCTTTTTTGCAGAAATAGACAAGTTGATCTTAAAATTCATATGAGGGGCTGGCCTGGTGGCGTAGTGGTTAAAGTTCGTGTGCTCTGCTTTGGTGGCCCGGGGTTCGTGGGTTCGCATCCTAGGCATGGACCTACACACTGCTCGTCAAGCCACGCTGTGGCAGCATCCCACATACAAAAAAACAGAGGAAGACAGGCACAGATGTTAGCTCAGGGAGAATCTTCCTCAAGCGAAAAGAGGAAGATTGGCAACAGATGCTAGCTCAGGGCCAATCTTCCCCACACACACACAAAAATTCATATGGAAGTGGAAAGGACTTGGAATAACTAAAACAATCCTGGAAAAGATAAACAAAGTTGGAGGATTCACATTTCCTGATTTCAAAAGTTACTACAAAGCTAGAGTAACTGAGACACATGGTACTGGAATAAGGATACACATAGAGAACAACACAATAGAATTGAGAGTCCAGAAACAAAGCCTTACATTTATGGCCAACTGATTTTCGACAATGGTGCCAAGATAATTCAACAGGTAAAGAATGGTCTTTTCAACAAATGGTGCTGGTACAAATGAGTATCTACACACAGAATAAAGTTGGACTACTACCTAACATCACATTCAAAACTTAACTCAAAATGAATCATACACCTAAAAGTAAGAGCTAAAATTACAAAACTCTTAGAAGAAAACATAGGAGTAAATCATCATGACCCTGGATTAGGTAATGGTTTCTTAGATATGACACCAAAAGTATAGCAACCAAAGAAAAAATAGATAAATTGGACTTCAAGAGTAAAGCTTTTGTGCTTCAAAAGACACTCTCAAAAGAGTGAAAAAAAGACATCATACAGAATAAAAAAATATTTGCAAATCATATCTCATAAGGATTTGCTATGCAGAATATATAAAGAACTATTACAACTCAATAACAAAAAGACAAAGAACCCAGTTTAAAAAAATGGGCTAAGGATCTGAATAGACATTTTCCCCAAGAATATATACAAATGGCTAATAAGCACATGAAAAATATGCTTAACTCATTAGTCATTAGGGAACTGCAAACCAAAACTACAATGAGACATCAATTTGCACCTACTAGGATGGATTAAAAAAAAAACAAAAGATAAGTGTTGGTGATGATGTGGAGATACTGGAACCCTCATACACTGCTGGTAGGAATGTAAAATGGTGCAGCCACTTTGGAAAAAAGTGTGGTAGTTCCTCAAAAAGTTAAAACACAGAGTTACCATAGGAAACAGCAATTCCATCCCTAGGCATATAACCAAGAGAACTGAAAACATGTCTAC